GGATCGCCTCTGCGTGTGTGAGAGAATCGCATGCAGGCGCCGCCCCCACCCCCACCCCCACCCCCCACACACACTCGTCCCCGGCACAAAGTCACCGCCACAGACGCCTGGCTCGGGCAGCATCTCTCTGCCGCTGCGCGGCACGGCAGAGAGCCGACCTGCCTGCGGTGGCAGCCTCAGAAACCTGGAACCCTGTCAATTCATTGTGGCGCCCTTTTGCACCCCCTCAAACCAAACCTCTTCTGCACTCCTCCTGCATCTGATGTGGCGTGCTACGTGCACCACTGCCCTCAGACCTCCAGCGGCGGTGCCCTTCAGACATCGGATGTCGTCGACTTGAAATCCCTTCAAGCGCATTTCATGCATTTCATTGGCCCTGCACATCCACCCCTCCCAAACCAGCACCATTTCGTTTCGGCAATAAGCATGCTGCGCATGCTCTGACACCTCAGCGCCACCTCGTCCCGACCCATATTCACACTGCCCCCTGCATTCGTTTCAGCCACTCCTTTAATCAGAGGATTCCTCTTGCATGATGTAACTGTGTTAGCGTTAACTGTTTTAGCTGGAGCAGCATGGATGGGGAATGGCCGGGGAGATGCACGTCCAAATAGAAAGCAGGAACGTACACTTAACACAGCCAAAACAGGAACAAAACGCACACACAAACAAGAGGGCAAGGACAGCCAAAACAGCAGCTGGAAACAACTTTGAAAGAATTCGAGCCATTAAATTAAAATGACGGCAATGAGGCAGGCGTTGGTGAAGAGGGTTGGAAAAGAGGATGCCAGGCAAGCAAGCTGCCCAGCCGTGCCGTCAGTTGTTGTTTGAAGTGCTATCTTATGGGAGTTTTTTCGATGTTGACCAGCAGAGTTTCTGCAGAAGCATAGGGCGGGGCACACACGCAGGGTGGGTGGAACGGGGAGGGCCCACCGCGAGCACCAACAAACACCGGCCAGCTGCCGCTAGCCTGCTCCGCCAGCCAGCTCAGCACGCCCGCCCAGCAGCAGCACCGCCCACCTGTCCTGTAAGGCGCCCAGTCCACTGGCCGGAGGGGCACTTGGTGCACGCCGTCCTGCCGGGCACGTCTGTGTACGACTGCGGCGTCGAGAGGGGAGCGGAGCAGCAGTGATGGGCGGCAGCACAGGCGGGGCGCCGGCCGGGCCAGCACCAGCAGCGCAGCAGCGGAGCCGGCCGCAGGTGGCATGCCGCCCGGCGGCTGCTTGCTGCTGCCCACCAATCACTTCTGTCTATCTTCTACACGCCCCTTTACACACACACGCAGCCCACTCACGTTGATGGAGCACTTGAAGCAGTCGTTGGGCGAGATGGAGGAGGCCTTGGTGCCAAACTTGCCGGCCGGGCAGGGGGTGGCCGCCGACATCTTGGCCTGCCCGCAGTAGCTGCCGGCGGGGCAGGGCCTGCAGGCGCGCTGCCCCTCCTTGTCCTGGTATGTCCCCTTGGCGCACTCCTTGCAGAAGGGCTGCCGTGCGTCCGCGTAGAAGCCGGGGGCACATTTCTTGGCGGCCACCGAGCCGGCGGGGCACTGGTGGCCGGGCGGGCACGGCTTGCAGCTGTCCTGGCCCTCCTCGTCCTGGTAGGTGCCACCCTCGCAGGGGATGAAGCCGTCGTTACCCAGCCCAGGGGCGTAGTGC